CCCCCCCCCCCCTTCCACCACCTCCACCATGTCCAGCAGGAGCACCATATCCAGCTCCACCACCTTCTCCACTTCCACCACCACTTCCATATCCTGCACCGTGGTCACCACCAGCACCATAACCAGCTCCTCCTCCACCACCACTTCCACCACCTCCACCATGCCCACCAGCAGCACCATAGCCAACACCACCACCTTGTCCACTTCCACCACCACTTCCATACCCTGCACCGTGGTCACCTCCAACACCATAACCAGCTCCACCACCAGCACCAGCACCACCAGCACCACCACCACCATAGCCAACTCCACCACCTTCTCCACCTCCACCTCCATAGCCTGCACCATGCTCACCTACAGCGCCCCCCCCACCCCCCGACCCCCCCCCCCCCCCGCCCCCACCCCCTCCACCATAACCCTCAACACCACCACCACCACCAGTAGCACCATGGCCGGTTCCATAGCCAGCAACTGGAATATGACCAGGTATTTCTTCAAGATTAAGAAGGGCTCTAGTAGCAGTACATATGCCCAAACCTAACAAAGCAAAGAAAACTGAACAAAGAACTTTGTAGGTAACCATATTAGGACGTATTAAATTCACAGGAAACTTGTTTTCAGTATGCAAGTGCAGGTGGTTATTTATAAGAATGGGAAGGGGTCCAAAGCCGCGTTTCTTTGCTCTAGGAGTGGTTGAGGCACATGCAAAAGCGAAGAAGCGTGCCCCCACAGACTGGTCCACCAAACATATACACAGAGTGCCGTCAATCACCCAAAGTAGGCTCGCTCTAGCAACCCAAGGGAAGAAAAAGACATAAATAGTCTCCCTCTCACTCACTCTCTAGACTGTGCTCATTTACTGTCCTCCATATTCTGATATAATTCGTGCGATATCCATTTCTAGAGTGGAGGATTGTAGGAGTAGACCTAAAACCTAACCTATCCACTTTCCCTCCTAGCTAGCTACCGACAACCCTCTTTCACAGCAACACCTGGTTAACTGCTATGCTCTATATCTCAACTTATTAAAAGTTGGCTACATTTTAATCAAATTCAATGCATATGATATGCTCTTGGTAGATGTTAATATTTTTTATAGTAATCATAATAAACATCGGCTACATTTCATTATGGCTCGTAAGTAATATCATTTTCCCTAGTTAGTCACTGTTGAAAAATTGAAAAAAAGAAACATAAATGTCGATGGAAGATATTCCTTCGCAATTTACTGATGGAAGCTAGATGAAATTTTTTGTTAGTAATCCAGCTGGAAATGGTGACGGAATTAAAAAAAATATCATTGACAATTATGGTGGCATTATTGAGGTGTTAAATTACTGATGAGAATTTCATCAGTGATTTTAAGAGAAATTAAAACTCGACAATGGCTTTGTTCAACTCATTTTAATCTTTTTCTTTCATCAAATAACAGTCGACAACCCTCTCCTCTCCTTACAAAAAAAATCCGACAGCCCTTCTTCACAAACTCTATAAATCCAGCCACCACAACTTGCCACCCCCGAAAAAAAGCTCCTCTTTGTTGATTCTATTTTTTATCAAGTTTTACTTCATTAAACAAACAAACTCACTCATTTATGTTTTAATTCATTTATATTATAAACTAATTTATTAAAATTTATTTGTATATGTAAGTTCTTTACTTATTTTATATTGATAATTTTGTTATATTAATGTATGATTTATATTTTATGGTTTGTTTGAGATTTGAAGAAATTGATTTAACTTGTCACTTGATAAAATTAAGTGTGATGTTTTATTACTTAGGTGTGTTAGAATTGAAAAAATAATAGGTATCAATTATTTTTTTATGTTAAGTTAAAAATCTAGAAAAAATAGATTTTGTGTGTAATTGATAATAATTAAAGGCATTCATTTAGGATGAATAAGTTTGAATAGAAAAAATGATGGATAATTAGTCCAGTCTAGTTAATTTTAGTCAATTTAAGGTTTTGTTAAAAAAATATGGTTTAGTTAAGTTAATGTGTAAATGTTGATAAATTTAAGGTTAAGTTAATAATCATTTGTTTTTATTGAGTTATTTTAAGTTTTATAATTATATAAAAATAAATTTTTTAATTGATTTTTAGGTTTACCAGTATTAAAGGTGCTTGTTTCATCACATCTATGATGAAATAGTTGTTTAAAGAACTATTATTTCAATGGAGGTAGCTTGATGAATATTTTCAATGAATGTATATAATAAATTGGGAAAAAAAATTTAATAATAGATAAATAATCTCAAACTCAAATAACTAGTTTTTAAAATTATGAAAGTGAATTCATGTATGAAATCAATTAATTTCTTTTTAAAGAATTGAGAGCAACAAGGGACTTGCGAGGAGAGTATGAAAAAACCATATGCATTAGATAAGTTTAATGAACCAATATTCAATATATACTTATAAGTTACTGTTAAGTTAACATTATAATATTATCCTATATGTGTTTTCTTTTATTGGTTGCACTAAGTTGCATGATTTTGGTACAATACCCACATAAGAGCAATGAAGAGAGTCAAGCCGAATGACATAGATATATGAAAAATATAAAAACTAAAGTATGTCAGATATTATAATTGAGCAATGTATCTTGAATTTATGGTATTATGAAATTTTACAGTATATCTTTGTATTTAGTTTGAGAGACTTACATATTTCATGAATGATGAGACATTTAGTTATGGATGTTATTCTTGTGTACTTTAAAAGCAATATATTTAGAGAATGATGAAACACATAACTGTGTCTATTGTTCCCGAGTTTAGTATGAGAAAGCTAGGTATTTCTTGTTTACCTTGTGTTTATGGATTTATTGTGAGAAAGAAATTATTAACTTCAAGGGGTCATAACAAGCACAAAGAAAAACATTAAAATATTTTACTTGGAATCAATATTCCATCATTATTTTTGTTATAAATTCCATTAGAATGTTCCAAACCATTAAAGAACTTTTTTAAAAAACATACAGAAGGTGTAGCAACTTGATGATGGAACCGTTGATAAAATTCTTTATAAAAAAAATACTTAATAAGTTTCAATGGATAATAGGCAGTAAAAGCAAACTTTTAAAAGAAAATGATGTTATCATATTATTTGATAATTTTATCTATATTTACCTAGTATTTTGTCCATGTTTTATAAATAAAATGCATTGATAATCTTTATTTTATATTTTGAAAGAACATTTGGATCTAATATTTGAAAAGAAGTAAATTAAAGATAAAATTCAAACCATATTCCAATTGATGTCGAATATTGATGTATTTTATCTCTAATTGATGTTTTATGCATAATTTAAGTTGTAAAGGTCAAAATAAAATGATTATAATGGAATTAAAAAGCTAACATCCATACCTTTCTTTATATATATGGCAAAAGAAATAATAAAAAAAAAAGGTATGAAAATCATAGCCTTCAAAGACAAGTTTTGTATTTTGTTAATTTTGACTTTCAACCATTTCGACTTGAATATCTTGAATTAAAGAAGTCTATTTTATACAAACTCAATTTCATTGAATTCCTAACTCAAATACCTATAAACTTACCAAATTTCAATAGAAAAAAAATGCTCGAAATAGTAATTGAAGACATGTCCTTCTCCTAAAAAATCTCAAGATTTGAGTCTTTCCTCTCTTTTATGAAAAAAATAGTAATAAAATAAATTATAATGATAGAGTTTTTTGGTTAATTAATAATTTATAAATATAACTAATTAAATATATCTTTTTTTTTCATGATTTGTTATCCTTATCATATAATTTGCTTATTCTGATTACTAATTTCATTGACTGTATTGCATAATTTCGTTGATTTGTTATCTAATTTTTTATTTATTGGTAACAATAAGTTACTAAATATAATCTATCACTTTTGATGATAAGACTTGCTTTTGTTTTCATTTTTTTTTTATAAAAATAACAAGATTTGTTATTCAATTATAAATACACATATTTTAGAATGTGATTTTAATTTATTTTTTTTATGAAAATAGATGATTTATTGAAGAGCTTAGCCAATTAAAAAATAACTAAAAATAATTACAAAGGACAATTTGAACAGGAAAAAAGAAGAAGAAGAGAATTGGTATATCGAACATAATAGTGTACAATATTTTACTTCATTAAAAATATTCATGTGATCTATTCATTTCATCATGCATTTCATTTTTGTTTGCAAAACATAATCAACTTAATTATATTTTATTACATATTTAATAGTTTCACAAACTTACATTCTGCTGGTGTTATCTTGTATGTAATTTGTTATCTTCAATAACTTTTTATGATGATCTAACACCATTCACTTATTTATAGTGAGGGAATGATATGATTATTAGATAAAAATAAAAAATTCAATAAACATTAATATAACAACAACAATAACTACTATCATAACTGTCATCACCAATACAAATAATCACAATGATAATTAAAAGTTTATTTTTATTTTTTTAAAAAGTATTTTTAAAAAATAATTTTTTTGGATATTTTAAGATTTTTTTGATTCAATACAAAAATAAATTTTAAAAAATAAAAATACTATTTAAATATATTTAAAAAATCTTTAAAAAAGCAACCGTTATTACGATATAAAACAGGCTCTATAATTATCACTATAATTATCATCATTCCATTACTACTATCATCTACATCATTATTTTTCTTATTTCATTTTTACCACTTCACAAATATTAATAGAAAATAAAATTTTATTTTTATAGGAAAATTTATTCCTTAACATATAAAAAAATTAAAAATAACTTATTTTTCAAGAAAACACACACCTCTAATTAGTATTAAAACACAATTTAATTCCAATAAATTTAAGTCAATATGATTCATTTTTTTAATTAAATTCAATAAGTGTTGTATATTGATATTTTTTTTGTGATTTGTTTTTAACTAACATGTTTTCATTTGGTTTTTTTAATTGTATTTACAATTTTTTTCACCGTTTTATATATACAAGTAACTTTTCAAAAGAGTAACCAACACTTCAAGCAAATGTAACTTTTTATTTACATAACCAACACTTTACGTTGGCTATTTATTTGATCAGTGTAGTCTCATTTTATTAATGAATTGGAGGCTACTTGTCATGATCATGTTATGAATAACAAGTATTGTAAAGTTATGACATTTAAGAAATAGCCCATAAATTACCTTCGAGCTGTATATATATCAGCCTCGAATTTATTACGATCTAGCCATTGTCAAGGACGCAGGGATCTAGCCATTGAAAGCTGACTCTAAAATTCCCAAAATTGCTGGGGACTAGGGAATTATCCAACTTGGAATTCCAATCATTCAACGAACACTAGCATAAATTAATAATTGGGCTCCCAAATATTTATCTGGAAGCTCTGAAAATTAGGATAATGCTCCAAATGGAAATTATATGTGTTGTAAATTATCAATGGAGATTTGGCATACAACGAGACAATGCAACCATTTGGCTTCATTTAACCTGCATTATAAATAATTTATAGGCATCTTCTTTAATTTGACCTTATTCTTAGCACTATAGGCTAGAAGACACGTAAACGTATTTATAGGATCATAAAATAGTGAGAGTGCAGAATCAAGGCGCATAGTCACCACCTTGGCCGCCACCCTCACCCTTCCCACCACCTGCACCATACCCGGCACCATGTTTACCCGCAGAACCATAACCTCCTCCGCCACCACTACCACCTCCTCCTCCACCACCTCCACTAGAGCCACCTGCT